TACAGGAGTGAAGAAAGTGAATGTGATTGGTCGATTATCAAGGGGGCGGGATTGTTGTGGCGGAAGGTTCACAAGCATGTCTGGTTGTGGCCGGTTTGTTGGAAGCATCTTGCTAACCAGTTAGCAACTTAGTGCTAGTAGGTTCCTAATGGGAAATTCCACTGGGACCAAGTTTGATTTGTGTTTATCATTAATACCCGAATAAATGAAAAAAGTCAGAATCTATTATTAGCTAGAGACTATTAATAACAGGACGTTAACTGCCAGATGAGCTTTGAATGTGGTGATGTCATCAGTACGCTGCTGTTCTAATTGACCCGGATCCAGAGTCGGACTGGGAGCGATTTTCAGCCCTGGCATTTTTTCATCTACACTGACCCACTAGTTTAGGCCTGGATCCAAGTTTAACTAATAAGCCTAAATAGTAAAGAAAACGGGGGAAAAACAGCATCTAAATGGTTAAAAGATGTCGGGACAAGCAGAGATCTGGAGGAGAGGATGAGATTATTTTACATCTGAGCTCCAAACTTCTTTTTTTTAAATCTTTTTCTGGTTTTCTGCACTATAAAATGTTTATGGATTATTCTAGAAGAAACTAAACCTTCCCATTTTAGGAGCTTTGTTTATAGAAATGATGGATTAGCGGGATCATAATACCTGCCTTTTCTTGTAAAAAAAAACTACAGAGGAAGTGGAGGGAGGAGCTAAAGCCGTCTGTCAGGAGAGCTGAGGGACGGCAGGACAACCCTGAGGACAGAGACCTTCAGGACAAACGGACCAGAATGATCCGGACCTTCCTCTGCAGGACCTTCAGCCTGATCTGGTTTAATCCCTCATAAAGTGTCTAATCTGGAGGTCTGCTCACCGTATCACGTCTTTGTGTCCGTTTCGCGCTGCCAGGTGCAGCGGCGTGGTGTAGGACGAGTCCGTCGGCTCCTTCCGCTCGTCCTCCAGCAGCGCCACCACCATGTTGCTGCTCAGGAGCAGCTGGACCACCTGAGGAGGACATGTCTGCTGTTAGAGCCGGTCCCATGACCCGGATACAGGGTGGAAACCACAGGGGGTCAAACACAGAACCCAGAGGGACCCCATGCTGCTCAGGGACGGACCGACCCCTCCCGACCCGACCCCACCTACTAGACTACACTGCAAAAAATGGAAATCTAATTAAGTCATTTTTGCTCAAATTTAGTGCATTTTTTCTTGAATTGAGGAGGTAAGTGTGACACTTTGCCAACAGAACGAGACAGTTTACTTTTAAAATAAGAAAAAAAACTATAGTTTTGTCTTAATTCAAGCATGTATTAGCAAATTATCTTATTTTAGGAGTAAAAATACTAATTCCATTGGCAGGTCATCTTATTTACCTGCTCAAATTAAGGGTAAATACGCTTAATTCAAGACATTTTTCACTTATTT